TAGCAACATGGTCTCTGGAGTGACTTGTAAGATGGTCTCTGATTTGCTACCTTAACACATATAACTGACATGCCAATCAGGGGACACCTTGCATGTTTACTGTGTGCCACAGATGTGACTTGCAAGATGGTCTCTGATTTGCTACCATAAGACTTAATAAAACAGATAGGCCAATCGCGGAACCCATTGCTTGTTTAAACTGTCTATGCTTTGCTTCCCGGTCGGATATAACTTTACAAGCCAATCAAGTAACTGAATGAGCACGAAATGGATTGTAAGGTGACCTCTGATTTGCAGTTTAACCAAATTTGCTTCACAATTCAAATGGGAAACACATTGTATGTTAACTGTGTGAGCTAGAAGTTGCAGCTTGCAAGATCACATTGTACTGAAATTAATTTATTAATGTTACCGTTTTATAACAGATGAATTCCGGTTACTACCCATCCTGCACCGCGTTGTCACACGTTTCTATCCATCCTGCAGTGCATTGACCTCAGACACAATAACTTTGACCAGTTTCTGATGAATAGTCTGAAAAGCCACAAAACAAACAATGTTAACTTTTACCCTTACGAATATTTTTTTTAAATAGATAATATTGTGTGAATCCTATACATGTCCTATATAGGGAGTTTAATTGTAGTGTGTAAGACCTGAACATTTTCGTCTATGGGGAGCTCTATATTGTCGTCTACGGAGACCTGTACATTGTCGTCAATGGGGAGCTCTATATTGTCGTCTACGGAGACTTGAACATTTTCGTCTATGGGGAGCTCTATATTGTCGTCTATGGAGACCTGTACAATGTCGTCTATGGGAAGTTTAATTGCAGTGTGTGAGACCTGTAAACTATCGTCTATGGGAGCTGTACATTGTCGTGTATGGGGAGCTGTACATTATTGTCTATCTGGAGTTTAATTGTAGTTTGTGAGACCTGTAAATTGTCGTCGATGGGGAGCTCTATTTTGTCGTCTATGGAGACCTGTACATTGTCGTCTACGGGAAGTTTAATTGTAGTGTGTGAGACCTGAACATTGTCGTCTATAAAGAGCTCTATATTAGCGTCTATGGAGAGCTGTACATTGTCGTCTATGGGAAGTGTAATTGCAGTGTGTGAGACCTGAACATTGTCGTCTATGGGGAGCTCTATATTGTCGTCTATGGAGACCTGTACATTGTCGTCTATGGAGACCTGTACATTGTTGTCTATGGGAAGTTTAATTGCAGTGTGTGAGACCTGAACATTGTCGCCTTTGGGGAGCTTTATATTGTTGTTTATGGAGACCTGAACATTGTCGTCTACGGGGAGCTCTATATTGTCATCTATGGAGACCTGGACATTGTCGTCTATTGGGAGATCTATATTGTCGTCTATGGGGAGCTGTACATTGTCGTCTATGGGAAGTTTAATTGTAGTGTGTGAGACCTGAACATTGTCGTCTATGGGGAGCTCTATATTGTAGTCTATGGAGACTTGTACATTGTCGTCTATGGAGAGCTGTACATTGTCGTCTATGGGAAGTGTAATTGTAGTGTGTGAGACCTGAACATTGTCATCTATGGGGAGCTCTATATTGTAGTCTATGGAGACTTGTACATTGTCGTCTATGGGGAGCTGTACATTGTCGGCTATGGGAAGTTTAATTGTAGTGTGTGAGACATGAACATTGTCGTCTATGGAGCTCTAAATTGTCATCTATGGAGACCTGTACTTTGTCGTCTATTGGGAGCTCTATATTGTCGTCTATGGAGACTT